CAGGTAGTGTCCCATGGCTGATGGTGCCATCGACCAGGAGTCACCCACACAGCAGCCAGCCCTGTCCACCCCAGGGGCAGCGCCCAGCCTCTGCACACCTGCCTCGGGGCCTTCCTATGCCCCGCCCTCTATCTGCAGCCGCTCAGCTGCTCCCTACAGGCTCTTCTTGGCTTCATGGCCCCTGACTTTCCTTGCACCCTGTCAACATGAGTCACACACAGCCACCCAGGAGGTCTTCAGTGTTGGCTGGCATGTGAGCAAGTGAGGGCAGGAGCAGGCCCAGGCCTGACACTTAGAGGTGACCAGTCTGTCCCACAAAAGCTGGGCACGTGAGATGGATCATGGTCCCGTGTCATCAGTGATGTGGTCCCGTGTCATCAGTGATGGAACCAGCCTCTGTCCTTCCACCACCAAGCACTGAACTAAGGTCAATCCTGGGCCTGTGGGCTCTAGCACCTCCTCCCCAGGGGCAGTGCCCAGCACCACCCCTCACCCTCCACCCCAGAATCATCCACACAGCCAGGGCTTCACCTACACCTGCTGTGATTTCACCTGGATATTACGGTACAGGAAAAAGGCCAGGCCTTGTGGGACCACAGCTCCAGAAGACCCGTGGCCCAAGGGCAGGGGGCGTCCCGCAGACAGGCGAGACCAGCACCAGGAAGGTGGGAGTCCCTGCGAGGACTTGGTGCCCTGTGTTGAGGGCAGGACAGAGTGGGTGGGAGCCCCGGGACAGGTGGCAGGGAGGGAAGCAGGCTGCCTGGGCCAACATGGGGGTGTTAAGATCTGCACCTGGAGATCCCCAAGGAAACTTTAAAACAGCATCTCCCTGCTTGTTCTTTAAGTTAGCTGAAATGTTTTTTTCATTTTTAAAAACTGTTGGTGTCCTTCCCAGCACATGGTTTAAGTATTGCCATCTTAAGGCAGAAGAGTCAGTGGTTCGCCAGCCTCAGCGGAGGAATCAAAATGCCGCCATCACCCATGGGACGCCGGCCAGCCGTCTGCGGCAGCTCCTTGAACGCAGGCCCTAGCCAAGTCCCACAGCTTGTCCTAGTGCAAAACATGCTGGACAGCTGTGCACCACACACCTTCCTGCTCTCCTGAGCATGGAGTGGGAGCTCAGACCCACTGCCCACAGCCACAGGGGTGTGAACAGGTGAGGGTTCAGCCAGTGGGGCCAGAGTAGAAGGCACGTGGCCTGAGACAGAAGCGAAGCTTGAAGGGTGGAGTGCTGCTCACCACCCCTCCCCTGCTCGGCACCTGGCTGCCTATCCAGAGAGTGGACAGCATTCCACAGTGGGGACAGAACCCCCAGCCGCCCTGGGGTTCACAGGGGAGGGCTGGAATTGCCCTGTGCTGTTCACCATTGAAAACCTGGGGGCCTGGCCTGGCCTTTCCTGCCCATGTCTTAGCTCACCTCTCCTGCTTTTTGGAGACAACATACACATACACTGAGAACATCATTGTCATAATCTGTGAAACCCTGCGGCTGAGCATGGTAAACAAGAATTTCATCTGGATCATCCTTACAATTAATTCTAAATACACAATCAAAATGACACACATTGCCATATTTCACCAGGAACTGAACATGCAGGTGAAGGTGAACTGGAAGCAGAGCCCTCAGTGGTCTGCAGGGGCTTGTTGGCAAGCACTCATGACCTCATGGAGGGTGTTGTGTAGGGCTGCAATGAGACAGGCTGCTGTGCCATTGTTTTCCATCTTCCATCCTCATGGAGAGAAGAGCTGAGAAACCCTCTTCACCTAAATAAGAGATGGGATGAATATTTTGCTGTAGTACTCTTCCCTCAACCAGTCAGGAACCGGCTGGTCAACGCCACATGTTAACATATCCCCAAGAGAAGGGACAAGCTGCTCCCCAGTGCAGTTCCTTCCGCAGATAGGATCTGGGGAGAGCACCCTGCAGTCTGGGCTGCCTTAGTGTGAGATGCAGACATGGACCCCACTCTCCACTCCCTCATGCCTTCTCCTGGGAGGACCACAAAGCGGAGAGGCTGGGCACCAGGGGTCCCTGCAGGATCTGAGCCCCTAACCAGGGTGCCATCAAGGACCTTGGCTCTGGCTCCTACCCCACTCCCACCTAGGCCCCTCTCTGGGGATGAGGTTTCAAGGTGGCTACTGCAGTGGGTGGCAAAGACAGAGAGCTTGAGGCCCAAGTTCCAGTTTGGCCAGGTGCCCCTTTCCCAGGATTCCATGCTTCCTCTGCTAGATGTCAAGATAGTAACCATCCAGCAACTCTTAGGGACACAGGACCCCATCCACACATTTACCATTAGTTTTTACTGAGCATCTATTATGCTCTGGATGCTGCTCTAGGCCAAAACAACTTCATCCACTCTGCAACTGGCATGCCAGATCAGAGTTCCTCTGGAAATCATCAGCCTTCCTTATGCCAGAATCATCAACCAAGATGCATAACAGAAATAGGATGCCTTTTGTGCTGAGGATGTGGCTCAAGTGGTAGCATGCTTGCCTGGCATGCATGAGGCACTGGGTTCGATTCTCAGCACCACATAAAAATAAAGATATTGTGTCCACCTAAAACCAAAAAATATTTAAAAGAATAGGATGCCTTTTATAGATAAAAAGTGCATGATCTAGGAAATGACCTGATGAACTAATGCAGTTAGACCTTCATGTAGGAAGCATTTTGATTCTATTACATGATAGATCAAAATAAAGCAAGAGATGTACTATGTTCATGGATAGTATGACAGTACATATTTCAATTTTCCTCAATCTATACATTCAAGACAATTTCATTGTTCCAGCTAGATTTTTCAAAAACTAGATCATTCTAAAATACATATGAAAAATAAAGTCTGTGCATACCCACATCAATATTAAAAAAGAACAATGGAGATACCTGCCCACTGCAGATTAAGGTATACTACCAAGCCATCATTATACAAACAGAGGTACAGGGCCAGGCACATGGACCAAGAACACAGAGACCCATCTAGGATGCATGGCCAGTGCCTGAGAAAGGGATCTGCGAGAGGGTGCTTGCTTCCTTGGCATTGAGAAAACTAGCTCATTTTGTGGAAAACTAAGCTGCACTCCTACATGAAAGTACTCTTCCAGCTAAAGATTTATGTCAAATTGGTAACATACTCCATGGGATTTTTTGGATTGAAATTTTATGGTAGAATCATCTAAAAATCTCCAAATTACAAACTACTTCAACTGAACTGATTTGCCTCAAAAGGCAAGGTTGTTTTCTAATACTTATTCTCTCTGAAGTCACTGAATGACTGAAACACTATCACTCCCCTGGACAGACACCAGATACCTTTGTGACATCAGAAAGAAAATTCCAAACTACAAGCCTTATTAAAAAAAAAAAAAAAAAAAGATGGTTTTGACTCCATCAAAATTAAGGATCTCCATTCAGACCCCACGGATGATAAGGGCAACAGACAGAAGGACATGGAGGGGTCCACAGCTGGTAACAAAGGGCATGTATGGAAAGGGAAGAACTGCAAACTGCCAGGGAAAGAGGGAGTTCAGAGGCAGCTTTGAGCAGCCCAAGTGAGGACTGCCTGCCCCAGTAACCAGGAGAGGACTGATGACAGCACTGAAGACCCACACCCTGCACCTGGGAGTAGATGCTAGGAAGTGTGGCAGCCCCGCCCTGGGAGTCCTCAGAGGGCTTTAGGTGACTGTGCCGGGGAGTCTGGGGTACCTGGGGGAGGGTCTTAGAAGCGGCTGACTCAGCATGGAGAAAGCGAATCTGCATTAGCCGGAGCACATCCTTCAGAGGTCAGGGTTTGGGGGGCAGAGAGGGTCGAAGGTCCAGAAACTGGCCAGGCTGGGAGAGGGTGGGAGCAGGCTGGGCACCGCACATCCCCTCCAGAACATCCCCGGGGGTGGGCCGGCTACCGGTGTGCTCACGAATGCTGGGGCTCGGGAGGCACCTACTGGATGGATTTCTGCAGGACGTGGAAACCCCAGGCACACTACACTTACAAATGCTGAGGGAGGGGGCAGCAGCGGAAGACCTGAGCCAGAGTCCTGCAGGCGGCCCGGGGCCCGAGGCTAAACCCACAAATGGGCCTGCAGTCAGTCGCTCCCGAGGGAGCAGCGGGCCTGGATGGCCCCAGATGTCGGATGAGGGTCAGAGAGGTGGCAAGGAAGCCCCAGAGCACTGGCGACAGCCGATGGCGCGGTGGGGCGGAGGTGCGGGGCTGAGGAGCCAGGGGACCCGCACCGGGTGACGTCGGACCACCGCCGTGGACCCGGAGGCCTGGAGTTGGGGGCGATGGCTGCTGCAGTGGAGGGTCGTGCGAGAGGGAAGACGCTGGGGAGGGCGCCCCAGAGTGTCCGCGTGCCGGCGCCAGCAGGGGAAGCGGAGGCCCGGCCTCCCCGCCGGTGCCCGCAAACCAGGCCGGACCGGCTCCGGGCTGGGAGCTGGAGAGCCGAGGTGGCCCGACGCGGAGCCGGGCGCGACCCGACCCCGGGGGCCCGCGGCGCAACGGTGCAGCCCAGCGCGCGCCCCCGCCTCCGCCCGCGCGCCCCCGCCCGCGCCCAGGGCAGGGCAGCCCGGCTCGGCCCATCCCGCGGCGCAGGGGCCGGGCACCTCGACTCCGCTCTTTTGATTTAAATATTTTTTGCCAAGTCATCGCCGGCGCCGCATCTACGTGGCGGGCGGTGGGGGCGGAGCCACGCCGCGGAGTTGCCGCAGGTAAACAGCCCCCTCCCCGGCGGGAGCGGGCCGCGCGGCCCGGGCTGGAGAGCCGCCGCCGCCCCCGGGAGGGACGCAGGGCGCGGGCCGGCTGCAGCGCGGCGGCGGGGGCGGCGGCGGCCCTGCGCCCCGGCGGCCCGACCCCTCCCGCGGGGCGGCGGACCCCCGAGCCCCGCGAGGTGCCGCGTCCCCACTGACCTCCCGGTCCCGGAGCCCCGCGCCCCCGCTGCCCCGTCCCCCGGCGCCGGCTGCCGCCCCTTCCCGCGCCCACCCACTCACGCGCCAGCAGCATCCCGACGCCCCGCGCCCCCTCCCGCCGCGGGCCCGCCCGCGCCCCCCGCCCGCGCCCCGCAGGGCCGCGCCCCCGCCCCCCATGCACCACCTCCTGGAGCAGTCGGCGGACATGGCGACCGCGCTCCTGGCTGGCGAGAAGCTGCGGGAGCTGATCCTGCCGGGCGCGCAGGACGACAAGGCGGGCGCGCTGGCCGCGCTGCTGCTGCAGCTCAAGCTGGAACTGCCGTTCGACCGCGTGGTCACCATCGGCACCGTGCTCGTGCCCATCCTGCTGGTCACCCTGGTCTTCACCAAGAACTTCGCAGGTGAGGCAGCGCGGGAGGCGGCGCGTCCGCGCAAGTGTCCGGCGCTGGGTGCTCCCCGCGCCCCTGCACGCCCCGGCGCTCACTCCAGCCAGGCCGCACCCACCTTGCCCGGCACTGTCCAGGGCTGTCCTGAGACCCTCTCTGTTTTATTGCTGCTTTACCTTGCATGTCTTCAGCTTCAGGCCCCCGGAGGACTAGGCCTGCGCTTCACTTGCTGGGCTCAGATGTAAAAGGGACGTGGGGTCTGAGATGTTGAAGTGTCCATGTGAACACCAGAAAAGGATCTTATAGGTGTTGAGGGCAGACAGCCCTGGGAAGGGATGGTGGAGACCCCAACTGCTGGGGAGTGGGGGGGGGGGGTCTGTGGAGCCCTGTTCCTGGCCAGGAGGGTAGAGGAACCCGGGTCTCTCAGGTACAGGCCCAGAGAGCCTCCGTAGGTGTGCAGCAGAGGAGGCCAGGCAAGGTGCGCCACGGAGGCAACATCAGGCTGGTCCAAGTGATGGTCCAAGCTGGCTGCCCAGGGAGGAGGGAGGGACTGGTCCACTCATGGTAGAGTGGACCCATGAGATGTAAAGGTGTTACCAGCAGAACCAAGACCTGGGTATGTGCCAGGTAGTGTCAGGGGCCACAGGTCACCCTCAGAGGTGCGTAGGTGCACAGTGGGGTCTCCTACTGACGTGAGCCTCCTAGTGAAGTGATCTGGACAGAGGGCATGGGGCTAGTCCACAGGTGCTGGGGGGAGCTGCACCACCTGGGGCTGGATGGAGCCAAGGAGGCCTCAGCCCAACTGTCCACGGAAGTGCCTATGGTCCACAGGGGCCAGTGTGTGACGGTGAGAGGGCTTTTAGAGTTCCTGTGCATCACTTAGGAGCTGTGTCCTCTGTGTACACTGGGCAACAGGGACAGGTGTTGCCTTTACACCTGGGTCTTCACCAACCTCTAGAAATGCCTCAGGTTTCAGGAGACCCTGACACCTGGACTCCAGACCTGGTGGTGGTCATTGTGCAGGCTGCCGAAGCCCACTCAGGTGCAGGGGGTTCTGCTGGTCTCTATCCTTGGACACTGTTGTCAAAGACCAACACTCAAGACTAGATGCTCCTGCAGGCTGGACAGGAATCCAGCACACTGAGATCCAATCGGTGTGCACACACCCACGGTGGGGCCTCAGGTCATGCCCTAGTGTTCACCGAGGCCCCTCTCGGGGCACAGTGTAGTAACTGTATCACAGCTGGATGTCATAAAACAACAGAAACTTATATCTCATGGTTCTGGAGACCAGAAATCCAAACTCTAGGTTGTGAGCAGGGCTGGGCTCCCTCTGAGGCTCTGGGGGAGGACACTTCCTGCCAGAGTTCCCTGCCTGTAGCTGTGGCACCCAAGCCTCTATGACTGTCCTTGCCCAGGCAACTCCACCGCATCTCTCCTGGACCAAATTTCCCCAGTGATTCAAGAACACAGTCACACACACTACTTCACAATGACTTCATCTCACTTCGGTGGCACCTGCAAAAGCTGTTTCCGCATAGTGTGCAGACATGTAGCTAGGGGGTCAGCTCCACCCATGATGGACAAGCCTCCTAGGACAGACACGGATTCAGGTGCACACGTGGGCTTGGCCTCTCTGGTGCTCTCTGCATGGGGCTCCATGTTCTGACACTGCTAAGCCCAGCTCCCCATCTCTGGGGCATCAGCACACCCCTATATCCAGCTGGGCCTGGGGCTGGCAGGCTCCAAGTGCATCCCTGACCCCAGGGCCTGCCCCTTCAGACCCTCTGCATTTGCACACAGACGCACCTGGGGACCACATGCCCTGGCCCTCCCCCCACTGCCATTCGGGGCCCACTGCAGTGTCAGGAGGGGTCCCAGGGCCTCTCCAGCACAGACAGGTAGGGTTCTGAGCAGCAGAATGTGCCCGGCCTGCGAGGTCACTCCAGGGGATGGGCCTGGGAGGGCTCTCTGAACTGCTCTTCCGCTAGTGAAGGAGCCCGTGAACCCATGTCTTCCAAGCTCGACCACAAAGCACTGGCTGCGTCTCCTGCTGGCTTTGATCAGGGTCTCACTGAACCTGAAACCATCCAGGGTCCCCAGACACATGCTAACTCCTGGGGTGAGGTGACCCCGGACAAAAGGGAAATTGTGGTACCACTCAGGTGGGAACCACATACGACCTGGGTGGACTTGGGGGGCCCCTGCCCACTCGTGGGAACTCCTGGGCTAGGTGGGGTGGAGGGTCTGGTCAGAAGCTCTGGCCTCTCTAGAGACCCCCCACTTTCTGCTCTGGACAAGAGCACCAGGAACCGGTGCCGGGGTTCTGAGATGTGACTGCCCTGAGAGGCTGTGGGGCTGCTTCTCGGCTGTGTCTGCCTCTGTCTGCCAGGACCTGAGCCTGAGGAGGCAGGCCCAGGGCCACCAGGGTGAGCACCTGAGGCTCCCTCAGCCCTACCGGCTGGGCGTTTCAGTGGGTGGGCATCAACCCTTCTGGCTGAGGCAAGATGCTGAGACCCATGTCCTGTGTCCCTGGTTTGTGCACCAGGGACACAGAGTAGGCCCGTGCCATGGCCTGTAGAGGTGCAGTGGAGGCAGGGCCTAGTGTGGCAGCACCTGGCCCGTGCTCATCAGCCTGGCACCATCGCCGTGCCAGGGCCTGGCCTGCCCTCCTGGGGGGTCCTGGCCCTCGGTGCAGCCCGTTCTGCTGTGTTAGGACCAGCCCTCCCTTGCCACACAGCTGCTTACCACTGGGCCGAGCTCAAGGTAGAGGTGGACTTTGGAAGACCCCACACACCTGCCTGAAGACCAGCTGGTGGTGGGCCAGGGCTGCCATGAAATCCCACTCTCCCGCTCCGTCCCCTCCCCAGGACTCTCTACTGGGGATGGCATAGAGTGGGGGATCAGGTGGGCAGAGCCCAGACACACTGAAAGGGGGGAGGCCAAGGGTCGCCAGATTCCTCAGATGCTGCTGAGACCCTGAGGGGAGGCCACCTGCTTTCCCTAAAACAGATGACCAGGCCCAGGTGGGCAGTGTCCTCAGTGTCTCCTGGGTGAGCCGTGCAGCCCACCCCAGGGGTGTCTTCTTCTCAGCCCTCTGACTTCCCTCTCAGGAAAGGCACCAGGGATCTGCCTGGATCTAAGTGTAGGCTGCCCAGGGCCTGCGCCGGGCAGCTGGGGCCTCTCTGCCTCAGGGTCCCAGGAGGGCTGGGTCTCCAGGGTAAGCGCCCACTTACCCACTCTTTTCCGCCACCTCTGAGGGTGAGCCCTCTCCTCCCCGGTGGGGCCCCCCTTACAGGCCCAGCATCTGGGGCCTTGTTTTTGTGGGGATCAGTTCTGGGCACTCGCTCAGCTGTGGCAAGAAGGTGCTGGGTGGGCCCAAGGCCTGCTGCCGGCACAGATTAGCAGACTGGCTGGGACGTGGCCCGGCGGGGGGCACCTGCTGGATGTGCAGGCCCTGGGTCCAACCACCAGGACTTAAAAAGAAACAGACCACAGCTGCCGCCTCAGAGTTCTGCAGTCGGGAATCTGAGTGGGGCGCAGGGGCTACGGCCACGCCCGTGGGCACGGTCCTTCCAGAGCAGGTCTGTTCCTCCGCTTCCAGCTGCTAGATGTCCAGCCAGCAGCACCTCCCTCTCTGGCACCCTTGCCGCTCCTCTAGCCCTCCCCAGCACCCTCCCCCGGGGACCTTAGGATCACACATCCCACCCAGATCCCTGTTACTCAGCCTGGGTGGTGGAGGTCTGGGCAGGACACTGTCAAGCGTGAGCCCGGGGACCGCTTCCAAGCAGTGGCCACATGGGTGTGTGCCGACTTCCCTGGGGCTGCATCAGGCACTAGGCTCCCGGGCACTGCACTGGGCCCCATGTCCCCAGGTGAGTTGAACAGCCTGGGCAGGTGCCTGGTTACCAAGCTTCTTGGGTGGGAATCCCAGTGTCCCCTCATCAGGGACAGCGATGCCCGTGGCCAGGGCCCATAGAATGCTCTCCTGTAGGGAAAGGGCTGCCCAGAACTGCCTCTGTCTATGGGCTGGGCAGGCCTGTGTCTCCCCGACATCTCCCTGGCCCAGCGGGGGCCACAGGGCCCCTGGGAAACCCCAGGGGAGTCCCCTCGAGGGTCTGGCAGCTGCCTTCTAGGCTGGGCATCTGCGCCCCAGTCCCACTGCCCCACTCAGTGTCAGGTCCGTGGTAGCCCCTGCTCTGCAGGGCCACCTCACCCTGCTCTGCACACCTCCGTGAACTGCTGCACTGCAGGGAGCACAGGGTACCTCCGTAGGTGCAGGCCCCTCAGGAGGAGGGTAGCCCCAACTTCCTGTGCCGTGTGAACCTTGGGGCAGGCCTCTCACCTGCATGGTCCTGGGGAGCAGATTAGGAAACGGGCAGAGTGGCAAGTGGGGCTTGTCTCCCTTACTGCCACCGCCCAGCAGACAGGGAGGTGGTGGCAGGCTCTCCACACCTGCCCCAGAGGCACTGCACCAGCCACTCAGGGGTTGGGGGCCACCCCCATCCCAGAGCCTGTTTCCCTGTGGCCTCCCCACATGTGGTCACCACAGGTGGGTGCGTGCCCCAGGGAGAAGAATATCCACCCCCCTACAACTCCTGGGATTGGTGATAGGGACCAAAAGGGAATAAAATGATATTTTTTCAACCAAAAGAACTGATCCCTCTGCCTTTCCCTGTTTGCTTTTCTCTGAACTTTGCTTGGCTCTTGGTCTGGTCCCCTGTCCTCAGGGAACTCAGGCCATGGGGACAGTCCAGGCTCCCATCTCATGAGGATGTGGTGCCAGCTGCTTCAAAGAACCCTGGCCCCCACCCCCTCTAAGCAGGGCTCCCTCTGCCCAACCCACGCCTCCCTAGAGCCCCCCACAGCTCCCCAGGACTGTCCCATAGAGTCTGTGGGCCCTGTCTTTGAAACCACCCTTGGTGGACCCACCTGGGTCCTTGCTGTGTGGACTGGAAGACACGCCCCTGGTGAGAACAGTGGCAACCACGGGATCTGCACTGGGTTCTGGAGGGCTGGGGGGGCCTGCTGCTGAGTGGAGGCCAGGGCTGGAGGCACCTGCAAGGCGTGGGGTCTCTGTGCCCAGATGTGTAGCCAGCCACTGCTCCTAGCCCCCTGGGTCCCTGAACAGCTGCAACAGTGGATGGTGGTCTTCCTAGAGAGAGCTGGGGTCTCTGAGTCTCCCTCTGGGTGCAACTCAAAGGCTGGGCACGCACAGGCTGCTGTGAGTGCAAGCCTTATAGCATGGTGGTTCTGAGCTCACCTGCCCTGGTACCTGAGGGTGCCAGTCCCATTTGTGCAGAAGAGGGCGGGAGGAGGCTGGAGCCCGGCCTGAACGCACATTGGCCAGGGGCCCTCAGGCTCAGAGCCTCAAGGCTCCACTCCCAAGAAGCCTCAAAATCCAGAATCCCTGCATGGGCAGACCCGTGCTGTAGGCTGTACTGACATCAGGCAGACAGGCTCCTGGGGGAAAGGTGCCCTGCAGCAATGACCATGGGACTGCAGTTACAGTGGCAGGTGTGAAGTCAGGTCCCTGGCCAGGTTTGGTGGCGCACACCTACCTGTCATCTCTGCCACTCAGGAGACTGAGGCAAGAGAATCCCTCACAAATTCAAGGCCAGCCTCAGCAACTCAGTGAGACCTTGCATCAAAATTAAAGAGCTGAGGGTGTCTCTCAAAGGGGTCGGGTGCCCCTGGGTTCAGAACATCCCTAGTACAGAACAAAAAGGGGATGAGTCCCTCCCGGGATGCTCAGGCCACCAGCCAGGACCTGGGTTTCAGCTGAGCTGGAGTGTTGGAAGACGGCCAAGTGGTGTGGCCTGTCTTGTTCTCTTTGGGACTGTTTCCCCTTGTGCCCAGTCTCTGTGGCATTTAGAGACCAACGTACATATATAGGCCAGTTCCTGGGGCTGGCATGGGCAGGGCTTAACCCTTGGCTGACCACCTTGTGGGGGTATTCAGGATAAGATGGTGATTAGAAGATGGGGAGAAGCTAGTGGGGGCGGGTCCATTGGGGCACAGCATCCCCGGCACAAAGCAAGTAGCTATGTGGGAAGGACTGTAGTACTGAGGCCAGCAGCTGGAGCAGGAGTGGGTCCCCGGTGCCCTTTGCCCCAAGCCCTTGCTCCACCAGGCCAGTCCCACCTCTGTCTCCTCTCTGCCCCCAGAGGAACCCATTTACTGTTACACCCCGCACAACTTCACTCGTGACCAGGCGCTGTACGCCCGCGGCTACTGCTGGACGGAGCTGCGGGACGCGCTGCCCGGTGTGGACGCCAGCCTGTGGCCTTCCCTGTTTGAGCACAAGTTCCTGCCCTACGCCCTGCTGGCCTTCGCCGCCATCATGTACGTGCCCGCCCTGGGCTGGGAGTTCCTCGCCTCCACTCGCCTCACCTCTGAGCTCAACTTCCTGCTGCAGGAGATTGACAACTGCTACCACCGGGCGGCCGAGGGCCGCGCGCCCAAGATCGAGAAGCAGATCCAGTCCAAGGGGCCCGGCATCACGGAGCGCGAGAAGCGCGAGATCATCGAGAACGCCGAGAAGGAGAAGAGCCCCGAGCAGAACCTGTTCGAGAAGTACCTGGAGCGCAGGGGCCGCAGCAACTTCCTGGCCAAGCTGTACCTCGCACGGCACGTGCTCATCCTGCTGCTCAGCGTGGTGCCCATCTCCTATCTGTGCACCTACTACGCCACCCAGAAGCAGAACGAGTTCACCTGCGCGCTGGGCGCCTCCCCCGATGGGCCGGCGGGGGCCGGGGGCCCTGCGGTGCGCGTCAGCTGCAAGCTGCCCTCGGTGCAGCTGCAGCGGATCATCGCGGGCGTGGACATCGTGCTGCTCTGCTTCATGAACCTCATCATCCTCGTCAACCTCATCCACCTCTTCATCTTCCGCAAGAGCAACTTCATCTTCGACAAGCTGCACAAGGTGGGCATCAAGACTCGCCGGCAGTGGCGCCGCTCCCAGTTCTGCGACATCAACATCCTGGCCATGTTCTGCAACGAGAACCGCGACCACATCAAGTCGCTGAACCGGCTGGACTTCATCACCAACGAGAGCGACCTCATGTACGACAACGTGGTGCGGCAGCTGCTGGCCGCCCTGGCCCAGTCCAACCACGACGCCACGCCCACAGTGCGCGACTCGGGCATCCAGACGGTGGACCCCAGCGCCAACCCCGCGGAGCCCGACGGCTCGGCCGAGCCTCCAGTGGTCAAGCGGCCTCGCAAGAAGATGAAGTGGATCCCCACCAGCAACCCGCTGCCACAGCCCTTCAAGGAGCAGCTGGCCATCATGCGCGTGGAGAACAGCAAAGCCGACAAGCCCAAGCCGGTGCGCAGGAAGACGGCCACAGACACGCTCATCGCGCCGCTGCTGGACGCCGGAGCTCGTGCTGCCCACCACTACAAGGGGGGCGGGGGTGACGCAGGCCCGGCCCCGCCCGCGGCCCCCGACAAGAAGCACGCCCGCCACTTCTCCCTGGATGTCCACCCCTACATCCTGGGCACCAAGAAGGCCAAGGCTGAGGCAGTGCCCGCTGCCCTGCCCGCGTCCCGGAGCCAGGAAGGCGGCTTTCTGTCCCAGGCAGAGGAGTGCGGGCTGGGCCTGGCCGAGGCACCCACCAAAGGTAGGGTACAGAGTGGTCTTGGGTGGGAGAAGGAGGGTGGACCCCCACAGAGCCCCGGACAGGGAGCCTAGGAGGGAAGCAGGTGCTGGGAGCCGGGCGAACAAGGCGAGGTTGAATGGGCTGGGTCTAAGGAGGGCGCAGGCACAGGCCTATCCGCAGCTTGGAGGACCTCCCCAGCCCCGAGAAGGCAGGCTGGGCTCAGGACTGAAGGCTGCTCTTCCCCAGTGGGCTTCAGCTCCCCTGGCCCGAGAGGTGCTTCAGGCAGATGAGGGCACCAGGTTCCTGGAGCAGGCTGCCTCTGCAGGCCTGGGCAGGAAGCTCAGGGAGGGGAGGGCCAGCCCCTCTGGGAGGCTTTGGAGCCGGGAGCCTCTCCGCAGGCCCTGGAGGGCATGGGGAGGGGCACGGCAGCTGGTGGGACTAGAGTGTGAGGTGCCTGTACACCTGGCTGTTCGCAGATGCTCCACTCCCGGAGAAGGAGGCTCCCTACCCCACGGAGCCAGCTCTGGCAGGGCTTCCCTCCGGTGGCCCGTTTCATGTCTGCTCATCCCCAGCAGCCCCTGCCACGGGCCCTCTGTCACCAGCCAGCCTGGGCAAGGCTGACCCCCTTGCCATCCTGAGCCGAAACGCCACTCACCCCCTGCTCCACATCAACACACTGTACGAGACTCGGGAGGAGGAGGAAGGGGGTCCCCATGTGCCCCCAGACATGGGCGACCTCATCACCATCCCCCCACCCCAGCAGATCCTCATCGCCACCTTCGACGAGCCGAGAACAGTTGTGAGTACTGTGGAGTTCTGAGGGCACCGGACACCCAAGCCAGTGAAAGCCCTCTGCATGAGCAAGGGATGTCCAGCCCCGAGTGGACATGGCCTCGCTCACCCAGTGCAGCCCACATCCCCAGTCTCCCATCGCATGCTGCGGGGCTCAGCACCCTCCCAGTGGGCCCGAGCTGGCACAGGTGCGTGGGCGGATTGGGCAGAAGGTGGGGTGCCGGGCTGCCAGATGAAGAGTTTATTTTTTTAGTCAGTTTTGCTGTGGACCAAGGCTGTGGCACGACAACTCGGTGCCCCCAGCCCGGATCCAACCCCGAGCAAGCCAGGAGGACACTGGGGAAGGAGGTGCCAGCTGCAGAGCCACTCCCCAGGCATCACCGGCCCAGGGCTTGCCCCTGCAGGGACCTGATGCCCTCAGGTGGGGGCCCGGGCGGCCCTGGGTCTGATCAACATGCACTTTCCTCAAAGCCTGACCTACAGTTTATTTTACTATGGCTACTGTAACTGACGAGCATATTGTCATCAGGAGACTTAGGGTGAGTTGAAAGCAGAGGGTGTGTGTGTGTGTGTGTGTGTGTGTGTGACAGTGTGAGCAGAGATGGTGTGAGCGTGGGTGCAGGTGTGGGTGAGTGACTGAGTGAGTGTGTGGGCGAGGCTGAACAGGTGTGTCTGCGGGAGTACCTGGTGCATGTGAGCAGGAGGGCAGGGCAGGCGTCCAGGGAGGGACTCCTACGCAATAACCACGCCCCTCCTGGGCCCCAGCTGCCAGTGAGGCCCATGCGGCTTTCCAGGGGAGCCCAGGCCGCGGCTGGCCCCGTCCCTATTACCTCAGCCACCGTGGCCGGTGACAGTATCAACAAGGTAGCACTGAGCATATCAATAAATATTATTCTGATAACCGCCTGTGCTGCTGCCGAGTCCGCCTCCCTGCCTCTGGCGCCACCTGCCCACCCCCAGCACAGCCTGTCAGCATCATCATGGGGGCACCTGAAGGGCCCAGAGTGTCAGGAGGGGGAGCATGGCCACTGCATTGAGGAGCATGTGGAGGGCACTCCTACAGGGTCGCCACCGGACTCAGCCCCTGGGCACAGGCACGAATCGGGGCTCCTACACTGAGGGGACCCCAGGGAAGACGACCCTAGGTCAGGTGCTTGGAAGCGGGGCCAGGGGTACTGCCCGAGGAGCGGGGCTGCAGAACCCAGGACGGCTTCTAGGAGGAGGGGCCCTTGCTGTGGGCAAGGGTGCTCACCATGTCAGGGGTCCCTGCAGGGCATCTGCCACCTCAAGCCCAGGGTTCGGTGGAACAAGGCTGGCCCCGTGGAGCCACATTCCCTGCAGGTTGGACCTGTGGGCTCCTTGGAGGCAGGTGGCCGGGGCAGAGGGGGCCAGAATCCATGGGCAGTGGGAGGTATCAGCCCCAGACTGCTGAGGTCAGAGGGCACCCGCCTGCTCCCTGGCCAAGGCCTTCTGGAGGCTCTCTAACAGGGACCTCTCTGAACAGTCCTGGACACCCAGTGTCCCCATGAGTCAGGATAGTCCACCCTCCAACTTCAGTGGCCAAGTCTGCAGCCACCACATCCCAAGCCCGGGCATGAGGGGCATGAGGACCAGGCTGGAGTCCACATTCATTTAAAACACAGGTTTTATTCTCAGAATGCTTAAAATTTTTATTACTGTTCAGGTGTGGTGAGGTCAGCAGAGCAGGAGACGCCGGCCATTGAAAGACAGTCTGTTGTTAACAGACCCCAGAGGAGGGGGCTCCCCACACCAGGCAGGGCCTCTCAGGGAAGCACCAGGGTCAGTGCAGGCAGAGGGAGCAACGGGCAGCACCCCACTGTGGCCTCCACAGGAAGGAGCAGGCAGGGCACGTAGGGGGCTTAGGATCAGCCAGTCTGAATACCTTCAGCAGGTGCTGGACACAGAGCTGTCCCTGGCTGCCCTGGGGTGACTGGGCAGGTGGGTGGTGGCCCCACATGGGCCAGCAGATAGAGGGGCGCAGGTTGGGTGCTTTGTACATGACGTCGTTGGCCAGCCCCAGAGTTAGCCAGCCCTAGGAGGGGCAGCCTGTCCAGGGCAGCCCAGCCCAGGTGTGCAGAAAACAAAAGGTGTGGCTGGTGCACCCTGTGCCCCGAGAGCCGGACACCTCCCTTGGCCTGCCTCCAGGTGGCACTCAGCGTCTCACAGTTCAGGAAGTCACCCTGTGGCCTGGGCCGCTGCCTCCAGGCTGCTGCTCCTGAGACCAGGTCCTGGCCCCTCGGCTCAGGCCCTCACTTCCCAGCACTTCTGCACAATGACAAGCCGCACCTGGCAGCCAGGTGACCCCAAGCTCACTGGTGCTGGCCTCATTCCTGTCCCCTCACCCTCGCATGCAGAGATGTCCCCGAGTTACCTGGGAGCCCACTGATTTGGGCAGTGCCCACGAGTCCAGCTCCTGCACTTGCCTTGCATCCTGGCTAGTGAGGGGAAATGTCACGGGCCACAGAGTGTCCAGGCAGGGGCTGTGCACACCAGCCCCTGGGCTCAAGCAGAACAGAGGTGGACACAGGAGATCCTTGGCGTCTGATGGGACCAGGGCAAGGGCAGCTGTTCTGCCCACAGGTGCTCTGGGCCACAGCCTTGCAGGGCGTTTCAGAGCCAGTCCTGTCTGGGAAGAGTTCTGTGTTGTAAACCCATGGCCCTTTGTGCGAGGCGGACCTTCTGCAAGGGGAGGTGGCACCGGTCAGCATCCTGTAGAAGTAGCCACGGCACTGTGCGTGCTGGGGATGCTGCTGCCTGCCCCCCAGACCTGTCCTCTGGCTGTGTCCCAGTGGGCCACCCCATCTTCCCAAAATCAGATGGCCAGAGTCCTGAAGGAAAGGGTCCTGTTGGCCGCTTGGGGTCAGGAAAGACTGAGCCGAGCCTTTCCTCCAGCACTTCCTCCTCTTGCCTGTGACCAGGTTCCTACTTCCATCTGGTTGGGATGATTGATCCTGCTCCACTTCAGACCAAACTCCTCTGCGTGTGCATCTGGTTGGGGACCCAGGAGGGCCTTCCCTCCCCAGACTAGCAAATAGTTTCAAGCCAAGCTCATTTCTCTTCTTAAGGGCCCAAGGGCCCCTCTGGTTTGGTACAAGCCCTGGTCACTGCTCCTAGGGCCATGTGGACCCCTCTCCCTCAGTCTCCTCCGAAGACCCTCCACAGCTCACCTCAAGAAGCCCCCCCTCTGGATGCTTGGATGAACAGAGGGAGCTTCAGCGGACAGCCACCCAGGCTGAGGGCCCACAGTGTCAGGATAGACCCGCCCCCAGCAGCATGCTGGGAGTGGCTGTGACAACACCAAAGCTGGCTGTTCTCCAAGCACAGCCCGGGACGCGGGGAGGCCCAGGCCCTGCCAGCATGGACTCCCGCTGTACTCTCCTGCTTCTGGCCTCTCAGCCATGCACGGTGTGGACTGAGCACAGGCCTCTGCGGGTGATCAGAGGGCGGTGCTAATTCCCACCACCCACCAGGGGCTAGGGTTTCAGGCACCTTCCTCTCCCCACAGGCCACCCTGTGGCTGCCACGGGGTCAGCATTGCCTTCCCCTCTTTGGTCCCCTTCCCTCCAGTCCTGAGCAGAGACAGCAGGGCAAAGGGTGCACATTTCCTCCTACTGACGAGGACGTGTTCTGGGAGAACCCCGAACCCATCCAGACAGCCAGGCCTGAGTCCCAGGCCTCTTCCCACCACGCAAGCCTAGAGCTGGGAATTTCAACACTCCAGACCCTGGTGCCTCAGGGTGACCTCGGTGGGCCTGCCAAATGAGTGGGGTGCAGCTGGTGGTCTCTGCTGGTGCTCCAAACCCACCCCTTGGTACTTGCGGCTCTCTTTTGAACTTGGCCTTGGTGGGCAGAGAGGCAGAAATGAGGATAAAGTCCAGGTGCAAGAACGCAAAGTGGGTGGAGAGGAGAACACCAGCGCCATGGCTGAGCTGGTGTCCTTCCACCAAGGGGGACCAGGTCAGGCCCTCTGGGACCCAGAAAGCTGTATGAGGGAGGAGGGTGGCCTCCTGTATGGGCAGTCTGCTGCAGGGGACCTGCCTAGTGCAGCATGGACAGCATTATCTCCCACAGTGATATAGCGCTGTGGCCACCCCCATACTCAAGACATGGGAATCTGCCACATCTACACATCACCAGGGTCAGCTCTTTAGAAGCTTTGGGCTGGGGCCTGGGAACTGGACAGGGCAACACTCCCACCTGGGGCCTGGTGGGTCATCAAACCAGGACCTGCTCTGGGCAGTCAATGACAAGCCCGCCCTGGGGCACTCAAGTGGAGAGAGGGACGCCTTCTCCCGGACCCCCTGGCCTCTTCCGCCCACTCACCAGCGCCTGGGCGGGAAGACAGGCACCCACCCGAGCAGCTGCCAGAGTCTGGGACCTGACCCCCCCACGGTCCTGATGCGGGGTGGTTGGCTTGGTCGGGGCCCCTGCTTCCGCTGTCCTGCCGGCCCATCCCTGCCTGCGCGCTGGGTCCCAAGAGGCCGGGTGGAGGCCTCGTGGGCGCGAGACCTCACCCCCGCGATCAAGTCTCTTTCCTGTCCCATTAACGGCTCACAGAACGCTTCGGTTCCAAAGTCACTGAGCCCAAGCCGTCAGGTGGACGCCCAGTGGACACTGCCCCTGTGCACAGACCTGGCAAAGGCGCCGGCTCTTCAGAGCCTGGCGAGGCCGCGCGATAAGAGAACGGGGACACCTAGCGGTGCGCGCTAGGCCCCGGGGACGTGGGACGGGAGGTTGTGGCGTGCGCTAGAGGGCGAAATGCCAGGCGGCAGGGCGCACCAGGACGCGGGGAGGACCGGGGCATGCGCTCGGGAGACGGGAGCGCTAGGACCCGGGGTCGCGGGGCGGATCGCGGCGGGCGCTCGGGAGCGCGGGCCGGGCGCGCTAGGACCTGGGGGCGCGGGGAGGAGCGCGGCGTGCGCTCGGGAGACGGGCGCGCTAGGACCCGGGGGCGCGGCGTGCGCTCGGGAGGCGGGAGCGCGGGCGGGCGGCGGGCGGCGCGCGGGCCCCTGGGAGCTTCCCGGCGTGCCGCGCGCCCGGGCCCGTCCGGCGGCGCGCATGAGGCGGCTGCGGAGCGCCGCCGACTGCTTGGTACGC